TCTGCCCCTCCCCCACTCATGCTCTGTCTCTCTATGTCTCAGAAGTAAATAAACATTAAAATAAATAAATAAATAAATACATAAAATGAAATTCATGGATTCCTCACTTGTTGAAGTCCAATATGTAACCAAAGCCAAGTGATCTATGTACCACCAACTATTCCAGAATTATAGAACTTCAATACCCTTCGCAATTCCCCCCACCGCCCGCAACAAAAAATAAAAGGAAAGAAGGAAAATTTTCCCCAACACCCCCCAGAGGCTGCTTAACTCCTGGCAAGACGTGCAAATCATATTCGCTAAAAATAAATAAATAAATAAATAAATACACCCCTGCAAACTTGGAGGCTTTTATCCAGGATTCTTGCGGGGCTCAAAGTATAACCAAAAGATCAAGGGAGGAGTGGGGGAAATGTTGAATCATTCTGGGTTCCCCATGATTAGTGTATCACTTTAGTCACAGAACAAGATAGAACGAGATCTTTTAAGTGGATTTGCCTTTCCAGTGGGTCATTTGTTGCCCAAGATGATGACAGCAGGAACTTTAGAACCACACTTGGTAATAAATCTGTACTCATTAATCACTTGCATTCACACTTAAAAACTAACAAAAGGAAAAAGAAAACAAAAACTATTCAGTACTGGAGATTAAATAACCATGTGTAGTCTCTTGAAATAAATGTTGATTCCTTAAGAAGTCTAATTACTTTCAGTTGCCTTTTTAAAAAATAACCATGTGTGTGTGTGTGTGTGTGTGTGTGTGTGTGTGTATATATATATTTGTGTGTATTATCCTGTGATTCTACTTATGGTTCCTCTGCTGCGTTGAAGATCTAGGAGCAGAAAAGCCTATGCCCCTCCCCCCACCAAACCCGCCCATGAACGGTAGCTCTAATGTTGCAGAAAGGTTACAAATAGGCAGTCTGGGACTTCATTGATCTGGACTATCCATGGCTTCATTGTAAGTGATCATCCTTTTAGGCTCTTGCCTCTGCAGATTCCAAACAGATTCCATTTCTTTAGTGTGATAGACAATAGCAGCCCTCAGGTCAAAAGAACCCCAGCTATCATTTGTTTCTAGACCTCTCTGGTATCTCTGTTCTTTGGTGGAGCCTAACAAAGTGTTTGTAGGAGACACCAGAGGATTTTGATTTTCTATCTCGTAGTCCTTTGAGAAAAACACTAAAGCACCTTGACTACTGGTGTCTGAGTTTTGCAGGCCACCTATATGACTGGGTTCCAAGGATAAGGCTCCACTCTCATTAGTAGTCCCAGATTTTCGAATGCTACCCAGAATTTGGGGACTAATCCGTTTTTCCAGCTCATAAGGCTTGGGAAACATGGGATGCTCAGTTCCTGAGGGATTATCCTGGCAGATATTCCCCTTGAAATGTCACCTCCATCACTTTATGATCTGATGACTTCCCAATAACTTCCCAAGTTTCAGGGCCAGCACTGGGCTCATTTATAATTGATAAACCCCACTGATTCTGGAAGATAGCCCCCAGGTTTTGCTGATCTGTCTGAGAGGGTAGATCCACTTGTGCTGTGCTCAACAGCACCGTTTGCATATCTGAAGGATAGATGAAAAGGCTAGATTTCATTTGTTCAACAGCCGCTGAAGTCGAACTCATGTGCCGGAGAACTGAAGCAGTCCCAGAAGAGATGGGTGTTAGAGTATTAGCAGCAGGAGTTAACAGTGGCTGACCCCCTGGAGAATACACACTTGCATCAGTCCCTGCTGAAACAGGCCCATTAGAAAAGTTGGCCGAAGTAACAGATTTCAGCACTGACACAGGGACCTGGGATATGGGCTTGAAGACTGGGTCTGAGTTTCCCCAGCCGGTGACAAAGAAGAGGAAGAAGATGGTGACGCAGAAGAGTTCTGTACAGTTTTGTTGAGGTTTTCCTTCACTTTGCTTTGCATAACTTACTTTAGGAACTATTTTAAGCGCTGCTATTGTCCACTGCAAAAACGAGGGGTGGTATGAATAGGGTCCAAGAGTCCTCTTTGGAGGTAACAGCAGAAGGATGCTTTCCTTAGGGCCGATGATCGAACTTTTTGCCGCTCACGCCGGGTTTAATATCAGAGCTTTTCCGCAGCATATCACCCACAGCAGGTTTTCCTCGATTTGTTCCTCCGGGCCCAGTTTCGTACTTCCAAATGGGCTTTGAACCATCTACTCGATTTCCCCTTTGTTCACTGTCGTCAGGCCTGAAAGTTTCGAGTCCCTGTTTTAAGGTTGGCGCCCTGGTCTCTTGTTGCCTTATTTTGTCCTGCCCTCAGTGAAGGCTTTCACATCCCTGGGCACTATTGCCCCAGCTTTCCTTTTTTTTAAGAGTAGTACATCCGCTCTCAGATCTCACTACCATCATTATCCGCCCCTTTGCCCATATAACCACTAGTAATATAGCCAGAATTATTTGTCGCAACGCCATTTCGAATTGCTACAGTATCAGTCTTCTCTGCAGACTGGTTCTCTCCAGATTTCTTTTCCTAAGACTTCCCATTCTTTTTGTCCATACTGTTCCGAATGAAATTCCTGGTTTTCATTCCTGCTTTCCCAAAGGTGCCAGCCTTTACAGTCTGCTTCAGATTAGTGTCTGCGATCTGTGGGTTGCCATTGAGGACCCTGGAAATAGGGTCGGTAACTCCATCAGAACCCAGGCTCTTTAAAGATACGTCTCTTTCTCCGGCATTACCATTTAGTTCACCATAGCCTGTTTCCTTCTTCGGCGTCTCCTGGTGCTGCTGGAGGGAGTGTTTGTGCTCATGTTTCAACGCCTTGGGCTGGGCCTTGGGGCTGCCCTTGGCTCCATGCTGCGGGCACTGGTGATGGTGATGGTGATGCTGGCTGTGGCTGTGGTTCCGGTTGTAGAAATAATGGTGGTGGTGATGCGGCTGCAGCTGCTGCCGGGGGTGATGGTGCTGAGGCTGTGGCTGGCCAGGCTTCTCCACTGAAAGCGGCCGGGACTCCCTGGCTGAGGCTGCAGGCTGCAGCGCCCTCAGGATCTGAGCAGGATGTTTCTTAAGGATAAAAGGCACAGTTCGTCAGAAAGACGTAACAATTATAAATCTGTTAGCCTTTAATGATAGAATCTCAGAATACACGTAGCAAACGCTGACGGAAGAAAGGGAAGAAATGGATAATCCTGCAATCACCGCATTGTACATGTAACACTTCTCTTCCAGCAATTGATAGAACGACCAGACAAAAAACATGCAGGAAAGCCACAGAATATCTGACCGACACCGTTGACCACTTTGGTGTAATGGATATTTGTAGAACACTACATCCAACAAATGTAGAATATGCATTCTGTATAAGTGCACACGGTGTATTCACTGACATAGACCACATGCTGGGCCACAAAACATGTCTGGATAAATTTAACAGGACTTAAAGCATACAGACTGTATTCTCTGACTATAATAGAATTAAATGGAAATTGATTACCCAAAGAGATCTAGGGGCACTTGGGTGGCTCAGTCGGTTAAGTGTCTGGCTCTTGATTTCAGCTCAGGTCACGATCTCATGGTTCGGGAGTTCCAGCCCCGCATCGGGCTCCGTGCTGACAGTCTGCTTGGAATCCTCTCTCTCTCCCTCTCTTTCTGCCCCTCCCCCCCTCAAAAAAAATAATAAATAAACTTAAAAAAAGAGATCCAGAAAAACCATGAATATCTAGAAATGAAATAGCATATTTCTAAATGATTCATGGGCCAAAGACACAAAGGAAATTAGAAAATATTTTGACGGGGCACTTGGGTGGCTCAGTCAGTTAAGTGTCCAATCATGATCTCAGGTCACGATCTCATGGTTCATGAGTTCGAGCCCCACGTCGGGCTCTGTGCTGACAGCTGACAGGCCTGGAGCCTGCTTCCGATTTTGTGTCTGTCTCTCTCTGCCCCCCCCCTGCTTGTGGCCTCTCTCTTCCTCTCTCTCAAAAATAAATAAACACTAAAAAAAAAGGAAAAATATTTTGAACTGAATGACAATGAATACAACATACCAAAGCTTATAGGAGGTAGAGAGAGAAAGCAGTCTATTGAAAGAATCTATGGATTTATATGCTTATATTAGAAAAGAAGAAATATTTAAAATCAAGGACTAAGATCCCACATTAAGAAAGTAAGAAAAGAAGAGCAGAGTAAAAACAAAGTTAAGAAGAAGGAAGGAAATTATAAAGAGAAGAGAATAAGTCCTTGAAAGAGAACAGACAATAGAGAAAATTAAATCTAAAAGCTGGCTCTTTGAAGAGATCAATGAAACTGACAAACTTTTAGTTAAGACTGATGAAGAAAAAAAAGGAGAGACGGGTGCCTGGGTGGCTCAGTTGGTTGAGCATTGGACTTCAGCCCAGGTCATGATCTCAAGCCCCACATCGGGTTCTGCACTCTCCATGCAGAACCTGCTTCAGATCCTCTGTTCCTCTCTCTCTCCCCCTCCCCTGATTGCTCTCTTTCTTCCAAAAATAAATAAAACATTTTTTTTAAAAAAAGGAGAGAATACAAATCACCAATAGCAGGAATGAGAGATTATCAACTACAGATCCTTCAAAAATTAAAAGTATAATAAGAAAATTTTAGGAACAATTTTATTGCCAACACGTTAAAATTTTTTTTGACAAAATGGACAAATTTATTGGAAAATACACCTTACCAAAAAATGGCACAGGAAAAAAAGTCTGAATAGTTCTAGTGTATGTATTAAAGATTGAATTTATTATCGAAAACTATCTTTCTGAGATAACTCTAGGTCCCGATGGTTACAGTGGTGAAGCCTATGAAAAATTTAATGAAGAAAAAATGTATACAAGCTTTTTTTAGAAAATAGAAGTGACCACTGCACAACTTATTCTAATGCTAGCATTACCTTTATATCAAAACATTCAAAGAAATTACCATAGATCAGTATTTTTCATAATTATAGATATAAAAATCATTAACAAAGTATTAGCAAATAGGTGAAGGGGGTCAAAAGGTACAAATTTTCAGTAACAAAATATCTGAGTCATGGGGATGTAATCTACAGCATGGTGGTTATGGTTAATAATACTGTATTGCATACTTGTAAGTTGGTATGAGAGGAGATCTTAAAAGTTCTCATCAGAAGAAAAAACAGTTTTGCAACTATGTATGTGCTTATTGTGGTAATAATTTTGCAATATATACAAATATTTAATCATTATATGGTATACCTGATCACATACGTCAATTATACTTTAGTAAAAAGAGATAGCAAGAGGGAAGATACATCACGACTAATTAGAGTTCATCCTAGGAATGTAAGGTTGATTTAACATTTGCAATTAATCAGTGTAAATCACTATATTAACAGAATACACTAGGAAAGTCATATGATCATTTTAATAGACGATTAAGAAGCACTTGACAAAGTTCAACATTCTTGAATGATATAAATGTTCAGTGAACTAGAAATAGGAAGGAAATTCCTCAAACTGATAAAGGACATCTACAAAAAACCTACAGCTGACATCGTGCATAATAAAGAAGGACGGACTTATTTCCTGCTGAGGATAGGAACAAGGCAGGAATGTGTGCTTTCATAACTTGCAATACAGAGGGTGGTGGCTGAACTCAAAAGAACTGCATTTATAATCTTACCTTGCATTTCAGACTACGTCAGTTTGAGCGCTGTATACTCTCTGAGGCTGTTTCTGCATCTGTGAAGTGAGTACAATAATGCTTGCTTTGGCAATTGGGTTAAATGCCTAGCACAATGCCTAGCATAGCAAAGAGATTAATAAATGTAAGTATCACATTTGTACCTACCCAATAGTCTATAAGCTCTCTGAAGACAGAAACCATTTCTCTTTTATTTATTTCCAAATCTTCAGTGCTTAGCTCAGTACCTAGTACAAAGTGGATATTATGTAAAAATTTGTTGATTAAATTATTAGGATTGAGATATTGATAAATGGGACCTTAAAGATTCTTCAGCTTTCTAAATGAAATTCCAAGGGTGGGCTATTTCCACTGAAAAATAGTCTTCTTTGGTTTGGGTGAAGTTTGTATTGAGTCATTTACCTTCACTTGATACTTGTCTGCTTTGAGGGAGCCCTGTTAATCATGTATGCTTTGATTACAAGCTCTGAGACAAAACAGATGCTTTGGCGTGGTATTCAGGACCCTCTCTTCTAAGTCTGCTTCTCAGGTGAGCCGTCCCTCACTCTAGCTAAGTTGATTTCTCCACCTTTCCTTGAACATCTTTGCATTGTACCACTTGAGCCCTTGCTTGGGTCATGTGTTCTGCCTGAAACGCCCCCTTCTCTCTTCAGTCAACATCCTACCCCACCTTCCGGGCCTCTCCCTTAGGAGACTTTCTCCCATCTGCCATTTACCTGGTCAGAAATGTTTTTTCCCTAGCGTGTTACTTTGGAGGCAATGTAATTAAGGATATAAATCTCTTGCTGATGCAGAAATTCCTCGCCACAAAATAGAGGAAAGAAAGAAAACGGTGGCATGATTGAACCAGATGGTGATGTGCATTACAGGCAATCTGCCATACGGTTGCAAAGAAAGAAAGAAACCTCACCCTTTTGTATAGCCAAGCAGGTATAACCCATCGCACATGTGTTCTGGAGATAAATAACTAGTTCTCAAGGAAGAAGACCTGACAGCACCTTTTGTCACACACGGTTCATCCTGAATTCATCTGATAATTGGGTGTTTGCAACTGCCTTTATCCAAAGGAAAAATAGTAGGACATGCTTTCTATGCCAAGCTTTGCATCTTGAAGCCAGGTGCCCTGCCAAAGTTAGGATCCTACCCTACCATGGAAACTGGAAGCTAGAGGCGCTATGTTCATTCATTACACTTTAAAGAGACAGCTCCCAAATCCTTGAGGAAAACATTTCTGGGTTGTAAAATTGTCATGAGGCTTATTTAGCTTTTTAGAAGATTTACATATATCTCAAAAAGGCAGTCAAAGAATTTACAAATATAAATTTTCTAAGGTAAATGCTCTAAGAAAAGGGAGGTGGGAAATCTCTTTCTTTTTTTATGCACAGAGAGACTTAAAAAAATTTTTTTTTGTATTTGTTTTTTACTTTAAAAACTCATATAGCCTTTGGGTTAGTGCCATTAAAATGTTACTTCACTGATGGAGGTATTTGTATACTCCTCATCTCTTTTTCCTGCTGGATTGTGGTAGAAAATGTGTCCTATGCATTTGTGCTGTGGCATCTGATGTGTCCCAAGTACATTATTGGAGGTTAGTTAAAATTGATTGAATAATCAGTATACCTGTATAGTGTAATATCCCGTTTGGTTATATTTCAAAGCCACTTTATTTTCAGTTGTGAACCATCTAGTCTGCTATTATGGTGTTAAGTTTGATAAATGCACTTTGGAGGAAAGAATTAAAAATCAATTCCAATGGCAAGGTCTACATACTGCTAATATTTCCTGATGGCTTCTAAATGTCACAGAACCTTCACTGTAGGAAGGACGGCACTAAAATCATGAGTCAGAACACTGATATACATGGAAGAGAAACTACATACGACTTAATCCAGTAAGACCTTCAGCAACCAGAATTCTCCAAGGGAATTATTCCCTAATAAGGTGGTGGTTCACCAAGTGTGCTCCCAGACGGATGCGCAGGAGCTTATTAGAAATGCACATTTTCAGGCTCCACCCTATACCTTCTGAATCAGAAACTCTGGAGGTGGGGTCCAGCAGTCTGTGTTTTAACAAGCCCTTGGTGGGGGGGGAGGGTTGATACTCACTAATATTGCAAACCACTGACCTAACGCATCCTTTGCATGCTCTGAATTAACTTCTTCCCTTTGTATCTAGAATTGTACTGATTATGTATCATTCTTGGGAGATTTTGGGAAACAGACACGCAAATAAATATGTCTTCTCTGGTTCAGGTTGAGAAAGACTGGATGGTATTTTACCTCTTCCATGTTGTATCCTCTCTACGGTAATGCTAATAAGACACAGGACAAAGGGGTGACATGTCTGGGACCTGGAGTCCTGTACATTCCATTTGTGGGCCT